TATGTGCTTTGATTTTCTCTTGTAGCAAATGTTTACCAGCGTTCTAAATAGATTTTAATGGCTAAAATTCGTCATTCTTTCCTTTACCTCGCCTTTGGCAGGGATAATAATAGTTAATAGCTAATAATTACAGAGTTCTTAATATGTGCCAAACATGGTACTAATAGCTTTACAAGTATTTATTATTTAACTTTTAAACAAACCTGGGGAGTTGTTTCTAGTGCTATCCCTGTGTTTACACGTGGAACCACGGGACAGGTAGAGGAATTTACTCGGATTGTCGCAGTGCAGCGAGTGAGGCTCACCTCACCGACGTCCTGAGTCCCCTCGTTAGTCACCGGGCGGCACTGAACAAGGACACGGGCAGGTGAAGACCCCGCTTCCACTGGAGCGGAGCCTCGACAGCCCAAGCCTGGGAGTAATTTCAGATCCCTTGTGCTGGGTGACTAATCCTGGACGTTTCTGGTTGGCTCCAGGATTCTTCTGTTCAGCAACCTGGTGTGGGTTTGGGTTTTACTTTAACAGCGGGTTGGTGTCCAGATCAGGTTTGTCCAAAAGTACTTTCTGTAGTGATGGAAATTCTCCCTATTTGCTGTGACCAACATGGTAACCAGGCACTAAAACCTTTGTTGCTCTTGAGCACTTGAACTGTGGCTAGTGTGGCTGAGGAAGTAGATTTTAAAGCGGGACTGAATTTTAGTTAGTTGAAACAGGAATGGAGACATGTGGCTGGTGTCGGCGGGCACAGGTCCAGGGAAGGGCAGGGATGCAGAGAGGACGTGCGTGCAGGGGCACCTGAACGCTGCGGTTTTACCTGCCCTTTCCGCCTCCTGGGTTTTCAGAGCCGCCCCTCCACATTTGAACAGGAGCCAGAGCCTCCTGGTAAGGTGTAGAAATGATACATACCGGATGTGGAGGCCTCAGCGCCATGTCTTCAGAAGCATCTTTGTTTAGCGCGCGGGCGCCCCTCGTGAAGTCCTCTGGTGTGCTCAGAGGTCACCGGCTTCGGCACTCCGGGGCCGGCTGCACTGGCTCAAGACACCTTTAATTATGGCGGCATATGTTTCAATTTCCAGGCTGGAGGAGATTTATTCCCTTCAGCCTGAAGTCAGCACAGATGGGATCTTGAGCGGAGGCTCAACACGCAGGAACCGAGTGCCACTGCCCTCGCCAGCTGTGGCCGCCACGGTGTGTGGAGCAGGTTGGCATCCGAGAGCAGCATTCCCGTCCACAGCCACCGTCGTGATTTGGATTCAGGATATGTCAGTGAGGGCTAGCGTGTGCGGCTGGCTTTGTGCAGCTTTGAAAGATCAACAGCCTTAGGACGGAAGTCGGTTGTTTGTGTTTGCTGTGTCCATGTAGGTAGCCATATACGTTCCAGTTCGGTGTGTATCCAAACACGAATGAATTTATGTGAAACTTTCGACCTTGAATCAGGGTATGTGAGACGTTTCAGTGCTTTGTGGGTGCATGCTTACACTTAATTTATTTCTTCTTCCTTTTGAGCTTTGTAAAATGGTATTATTGCTGAACATAGTCTGATGGGATTTTTTATACTCAACGTTTTACATTTTCAAGATGCATCTGTGCTACCGCATGTGGCTGTGGTTCGTGTATTTCCGTTGTATGGAACCTACACACCTTATGCAGTCACTCTCCTGTCAGTGGACTTCTGGGCTGTCTCCTAGTTCAGTGTTCTCTCAGTCGACTCTACTTCCGGCTGCATTAGTATTTGAAGATGGCAAGGACAGGGCAGAGGTCATTCACATCTCGGAAGGCGGGACCAGGAGAAAGAGGGATCGGGAATAGAGGGTACACTTAAAATAGAGGGGAGGGAAGGGCACTGACGTCCACTGTAGTGTTTTCTGGATACCTGGAACTGTCCCACGGGTCATCGAGTTTAATTCTCCTGACAGTCACATGGGAGCTTTCCTTATCTCTGTTTGATAAGTGAAGAAATGGACACAGAGAGGGGAACAGTGACTTTGTCAAGATGGTGCAGCTGGTAAGAGATGGAGCCAGATGTTCGACCTGAGTTTTCCTGACCTACGTCCTTTACACCCTCTGTACAAGGGAGTGACGGACAGTCAAAGGTACGTGTCTGTAAGGAGGGAAACAGTAGAAGCAGAGGAGAGAACATGCAGGCTCTGCCACTTGAAGGACAGAGTAAACGTAGCACCAGGGAGACTTGAATTCAAGGCAGACGAGTGAGGGGAAGCGAACAGAAGGAGCTTCGTGTCCACGGCCCCTGCATGTTGCTGTCCGACAGGGACCCTCTGACCCTGCATTCGGACTTGGGCTGTGACGCATCTGTGCCTGGGGTCCCTGCTCTTCTAGCAGCTCCCCTTCTGCCAGGGATGAACAACAAAGCCTTGCGGTCCCAGGAGCAGCCCTTAATCAGCCACAGATAGAATGAGTTGACCCCGATTTATCAGCAATTTGCAATATGAGGCTTTTTTTTCCCTTTAATGAGAATGAGGATAGAATGGGGTGGCAGCCTAGCAAACGAGAGAACTTGGTTTCTTCAGTCTGTAACGTTTTTGACGGATACAAGTGCAATCCGTAATAGAATGTAAGTGCATAATTCAAAGCTTATTTTCATGGTTGTGAATTATTGACCGCTACTGCTAGCCCAGAGCTCATAAAGCCTAAATGATTGTGCAGCTGAATCTCCCGGTAAACGGAGGCTGGAAGTCGGCATTGCTCTGTGCAGGTGGCTGTTGCACTTGTTCATGTTTTATTTAGGTGCTTAGCGGTGCCATTTGAGTCTCTAATTAAAGTTGTGTCTGCACTTTAATTGTTCATGAAGACTCACGTAGACTCAGTCACCAGATCAGCTCGGCAGGGATTTGCAAAGGTAAGCTCTGCTGCCTCACACAGGGGTTTCTCGCCTCTGTCTTGAGAGCGAAGGCAGCATTGATTCATAAGAACATTATAAGTAGCTCAATGGCCATTGGAGTATATTGAGTAGGGAATGAAATGCAGAAGTCTATTACAGATACTCTGTCTCTATTAACCTCTCTAACCCTTCCATTTAGCTTGATGGATAGAGGGATTTGTGCCCTGAAATCACAGAGGTGTCACGTGCTCCGATGTGGGATCATCTTTAAGACGGCTTTGTTAATCATTGTAGCAGATCAAGACTCAGTTTAACTGGTTTTGAACAGATTGCTTCACGTTTTATTTTGGCAGTTAATACATTGGGAAGATATGTAATCAGCAAATTTAATCTTGAATTTATTCATTAAGATAGATAAGCCTGATCTGTATTTTGATGTTTTATCGTATTTTGTATTTTGGTCTGTTAACCCCATATAGATTGAATTAATGTTTCTATGATTACCATAAAATATCACAGTTTTGTTTTCTTTTTTCCATTCTGTTGGAAAAAGAAACGATGGAGGTAGAATGTACTGGTTAGAGAGTTCTTCTCCTACTAGGCTAGAATATGTTATAAGAGTAATCTTAAAGTAGCATTTGAGTTACTTGGCTTTAAAAACATTGTTACTGGGATGTTTTAAAACTTTATATGACTATCAAATATCTTTTTAGAGTTTAATGTTTCTCCATGTTTTTCCATTTTAATTACTCTCTTTGGTTACTTCAAAGTATTTCTTTTAGCATTCCAAGCAAGCTTTCCTTTGAAAATGACCATTAAATTAATCTAAGGAAAAATGCGTTTTAACACACTGTGATGATGTTCAGCTGCCCCAAACATTTTTCAAAAAGTTAACATTATATTTATTCCCCAGTTCCTTTTGATTTATCAGTCTCAGATTTTGTGAGGTTTATGAATTTAAAGTGTTTCTGAACAAAGACAGTGGAAGAAAAAATAATTTCTTTCTATGTGAATGTTGTTTTCAAAGGAATACATGCTTGGATACCATATAATTCAGTCCTTTTTTTGTGTCTAGGGTAATTAAATAACATGCATTGAGTTTTTGGACACGTGGCTGATACTGTTTTTCCTGGGCAGTTTTTTCCTTAAACTATCTTAAGTTTTTTTATTTCAACTACAGTAGCCTGAAAGGGGCAAGAATTGATTTTTTGGGGAGTGGCGAGGAAACCATGGAGTATCAAACTATTGAAGTCATAAAATAGCACAGTTAGTGACCGATGCCAACCATGTTACTGTTTCTTAGAGCTGTCTGAACCCCTCACATACTTGAAATGAAATGAAATGTTGCAATGTAGTTGGTTGCTGGTGTAGTTACAAGGATCATTTGTAAAAAGTACTTATTATGTTTTAGTTTCTTATTAGATTGTTTCCCTGCTAGTCTAAGCATCGTGAAGGCCAGGGCTGTTTCTATCTTATTCTGTGCTCATTCCCCACTGCCTGTCATGGTGTCTGGCTTAGTAAGTAATGGTTGGATGAAGAAATGAATGATCATTTTCTTAAAGTGATGACAGTACCTTAAAATGAGTCACCTAGCTCTTGAACTTTTTTTTTTTAGGATTACAGTTCTGATGCCTTTTTTAAAAAAGAAAATGTGTATTTGTCTTTCCATTGGCATCAATATGCTGATTTTTTTTTTCTAGAGGAAGAATGTTTTCAGGAACTGTCTGGTGGCTCCGTTTCTGATACTTTTCTCTCCGCTTTCACTGCTGCCCAAATGTTTGCTCTGCAGGAAACCTTACCCACATGCTATTATCCCGGAGAGAAAAGCAGTAATTAAGTTAAGTCTCCATTCGATGTGAGGCTTAGCTTGAACAGCTCCATTTTGTCCCTTGAATTATCTTTTTAACGCACTGAAGTGTGCACTTAAGGATGGTTAAAGTGGTAAATTTTGTGTTATCTACATTTTAATCACAATTCAAAAAAGGCACATTATGATGTCCGCATCTCACAGTGAAGGTGAAACGTTGATCGGTGCAAAAATCTTGAGGGACCGCGCAGACGGAGTGAGCAGAAACCGTTGGTGTCAGTGTGTGGGGTCTGTGCCTCCTCCTCCACCCAGACGCGGCTCTCGGTTCCTAACGTGGAGTTTGTGTTTCCACAGGAAGGAGAAGCTGATGCGATGCTCTCAATGCCAAGTGGCCAGATACTGCAGCGCCAAGTGCCAGGTGAGACCCCCGGCCGTCAGTGCCGCCTCCACGTTCTCCCGCTGTCGGTCCGTCCGCGCTCCGTCCTGCCTGTTCACCTGTGTCTGTTTCCTCGCAGTCCGCGCCTCACTTCAACTCACTTCTTTCCGTCTTAAAATAACATATGCATATGGTAAAATATAACTTACATGTAAAATCCTATATATGATGCATATATCATGAAAGAGAAGTAAAATTCTGCTTTTTCCTTCCTCTTGTTCCCCTGACCTCAGGCCTGTTCTGCAGAGGTAGCTACTGTGAAGTTTCTCCTACGTCTTTGCGGTGTTTTCTGCTTTCTTGTGTACACATCATCATATGCATGTAAATCCTTTATTTAAATAACAGATGAAGGTTATTCTGGCACAAATTCTCGTGTACCTCGATTTTGTCTTTCATTTAATACTCTTTCTAGGGGAACTTTTTGTAGCATTCCACATTATGAACATGCCACAAACCGAGTTTTCCCATTAATGAACACTTATGATTTTTCCAGTGTTCTGTATCGCTGTTAATGCACTGGACATCCCTTTGTGCACATTTTTGCACACTTCTGCACGTTAATTATAGGATAATTTCTTCTCAGCTGTATTGATTAGTACAAGGATAGATGCATTTTGAATTTTTAAAGATGACACCAAGTTGCCTTTCAAGAGTCTAAGCTAATTTGCAGCAACTGGCAGTCTGGGTGAGCGCCGCCGTTAACATGTTCGAAAGCCTCTAAAGGATGTGTAATTAACATTCAACATGACCTTTACTTCTAACCTTCTGATTAACCATCTAATAAATGTAATTATGCTCTAATGAATTGTGTCATAATAAAAAGTCTAATTGGAAGTTTTATGTCTGTGTCACTTGCACCCTATCCTTCACCCATTCCTTCTTGTTTCTTACTTTGGGTGGGGGGAGGTGTTTTCCATGTCTGCACTTGCCTCCCCCCTCAAGCTGCTTCTTTTCCTTCTTTAAAATCTAGGCCTTGCTTGTCTAAGGGACTTCCTGCTTTCTCACTTGAAAATAATTTCTCCAGGCTGCAGATAGAGTGACGTGAATGGAAAAGAAGCCAAAACATACAAAAAAGGCAGAGGACCCAAATTTTAATGACGATTCTGCCATTAGCAAGTTAAATTATCCTGGAGAAAACACTTCAACTTTCTGGGCCTCGGTTTTCTAATACGTACTACTAATATGCACGAATATTTATTAGACACTACTGTGTACCAGGCACTGTTTAATTCTCTTGACTCTCACAGGACTTCTGGGAGGGTTAGGCGCTATTCTCGTGCTCACATCACTGAGAAGGAAACGGAGGTGCAGGTAGCAAGGAACTGACCGAATGGCCTAGAGCCCGTAGGCGCGGGAGTTGGGGGGGAGTTGGCGGTTAGAACTTAGACTTCGGATTTCTCTTCTAATCCTGAATTGTATTCCTGCTCTAACATTCTAGTTAGCTGTCATTTTCCTTTTTCTTTGGTAGTCTTTAGTTTCTGGCTTTTTGTTTTATTTTACTCATAATAAGGCTAACTCTATCCCCAGGAAACATTAAACAGAAAATATGAAAATAAAAGGTTAGTGAGGACACTTTCCTAATAAAAATAGGGAATGTGAAGAATAATCACGTTATTTTTACCTCATTTTGTGAACCAAAAATTCTGCCACAGTTAGACAGATACCAGATTTAGGTAAGATCATTAGCAATAGTAACAACAAAAAGAAAAAATGAAAATTAAACCCATGATTTTTGTACAAAATACATTCTAGAAAGACTGTTTTATGGTGATGTGGTAGGTCTTTTATTCATTTGAAACAGCTACAAGTTTCAGGGGACTTCAAGGTAAGAAGACTACATATGCCATCGATGAATTACTGTTACCTGTCACAAATCTATTGGATGACCTTCTTTCCTACTCTCAAGACCTAAATGTTCACATTTATTTTCCCCTATTTTTATGAGTGTTTTTCCCCATGTTACTTTCTCCTTTTGCAGTACAATGGAGGGGAAAAACCCCATTATCTGATTAGAATGGGTAGAGGGAGTGTGGAGGGCTCACACGTCATAGTGATTCATTGCAGACCACGTAGTTTTACCATGGATATTCGCTGTTTGTGGTAGCATCAGCAATAGAGTCACCGTCAGATAGGTGGTAGGAGGTAATGGGAAGTAGGCTAGGACGATGAAAGATACAACGCCGTGCGAGCTAGTGCATATACTTACGTGTGTGTGCGGGCGTAGGGGTGTGCAGAGGCGGATGGGAGTCCAAGATTGGCTAGAACATATGCATTTAAACTCCTCTATTTAGTGCAGCCTTCAGGGACAGCGCTGAGTATTGTAATTATTGTGGATACCCACCAGGCAGCCCAAAGTTGACCCGACAGACTGAACTATGAGCAATAATGAACAGGGGGCAAAAGCACTGGGACTGGAAATTGATATGGAGGATGTGGGTTTGTAGCATGAAATCTGGGATGTGTTTGCCCCAGCGGCACGGAACTTCGGTTCACATGCTTAGCACTTGCTGTGTGTGCACTTGCACTGGTGAGTTGTTCCTGAGGGGCTCCTGAGGTGTTACAGTGCAAGGTCCCTTGTGCCCACGAGGATGGTATCAGTACTGTCGATTTTCACATTTTATTTCTGAACATACGCAGTACAAGGCTACATTTTCATTATATGATCCCCACGACATAAAATAATACAGAGTAAAAAGTAGAAGTCCCTCAGCTTCTCTCCGCCACTCCTACTTTTGTGTTCCAGAGGAAATCTCTGTGTGCTTGTTTCGTGAGTGATGTCCAGACCGTCAGTCTGTGCTACAAGGTAGTACACACAGGCAGGGACCTACTTCTATGTGTAGCACCATTTCTGATGGCCAGAACACTTTCTCATCAGTGGCTTTGCATTCCTCTGCGTGTCCCTTAGAATGTGGTACCACGTGATATGTAGAGGGGTTACATGTGGGAACCAGTCTTATTTCTATATCAGCATGATCTGGACATCACTGATGATTAGGAGATCGAAGGGAAGGAGCAGGTTAAGTTTCCTTGACAAAAAAGCATTCTTAAAATTTGCAATATTGGTAGCATGTAAATCAATTTTTGCTAAATTCACAAATTATTATTTCACCTTGGCTGGATTTAATGTGATGGATAATATGCACATATCTAATTAAATTAATTGGTGAGCAAAATAAGCAGCTGGGTACTGTATCAAATTGCAGTTTATATACTTCTAAAAAGTACTATATTAGTAGAGAGAGACTCTTTTATGCTGATAATTATAGGCCTCTTTAAAAATGTGAATCGTATTTTTGAGTTCATATTTTATGCTTAGCTGTAGAATGATTAGATTCACTTTTGATGAATTTCACACTAGTAAGCCCTTAACAGGGTGATTTGGTAATTTGTTTTCTAGACTATCACACCCAAAGTGATGGTAATGAATAAAGCCAAGCATTCTGTTTGTTTTGTAAATAGCTGTGCGCCAGGCTCCAGACGGATGGGACATGTAGAATGTTCCAAGGAGAAGTCGTCTTCCCATCTTATTGTAAACAAAACGGGAATACCGGATAAAGGTTAAAATTATTTGACCATGTTTATGTCTTGGATTTCTAAAAATCTGGGGATCTGAGGTTTTCTTCTCCCACTTGCCTGGGGAGTGATCCCACCTACTCCCAGGGGTGTCTGTGCATTAGTGACTCTCGAGTCTCCTTCTCGAGCCCTCCTGTCTCCCGAGCCCCACACTTGGAAGGCAGCTGCCCTTCGAGGTGGCCTCTTCCGCCCTGCATCGGCGGTCGGTCCTTTTGTCCCCGCTTTCTGACCTACAGAAGTAAGGTTAAGACTCTCATCTGTTGATGGCCCTTCTAGTTCACTTCAGGAGTTAAAAACTTGATCATTACTCGTGTTGAGGAGACAGAATGCATGTGCCTCACCTTCCGTGTTCAGCTAGAACCCGGCATGGACATGAAGCTAATCTGGCCTGGGAGGTTCTTTCAGAGAAGATTGAAGTGCATAGACATGAAGGATTCATTTTGCCCTTCCAGCTAGAACATACCAGTGAGGTCGTTCCCACTTGCCATGATCTCTCACTAGCTTGGAGTGGATGGGAAACTTTCTGTAGAGGGCTGGGAAATAAATGTTTTAGACTTTGTGGGCCATAAGATTTTCCATCAGCTCTGTTGCCGTAGAATGACATGAGTGAGTGTACACTGTGTAGTTATGTTCTGGTCAGACTTGAAGAATAAACAAGTGGCAGAATGGACTTGACCTGTACCATACTCTAGGCGATGACTGACTGACTGACTTTGGGGTGCTAACGTTCTGGTTTATTATATGGCTTCTCAATGAACCAGGAGACTGTAATTCCCATTTTACTTAGAAAGAAGTAATAATTTATTCTTGTTTCTTTTCTTCTGTCCACTTCATGCCTTATGACCATTCTCCTGCCTCACTGCATCTTTATATCTGGTCCAGCCTGTCTGATTTGGGTAAGGCTAGTGGGAAGGTGCTCTGGTTCTACATTGGATAAAGCATCCCGTAAGCTCCTGAAGTGATGAGTCTAATGCCCATCACTCGGTCTCCAGTGTGCTGCAGGGAGATTTTATGCAAGATTTTCATGAACACCTGCCAGTCCACTGCAGCTGGTTGGACAACCTGCCTGGCTTTCCAGTCCCCTTTCCCAGACTCTAGCTTTTCAGAGCTCCTTCTGTCAGCCCGTAACCCAGTATTGGATTACATCTGAGGCTTAAAGGAGATACTGTTTATTTGCCGCTAAGTAGTCTGTGAGGGAATGGAAGACTCTTGGGCCTTTCTTCCCCCCATAAATTGCGTGGCAACTCCACCCTCTTTAAGGTTTGCCCATAGGAAACCTCTGTAGGTGATTGGAGTGAGTCTTGTATATGTGGTAAAAAATCATCTATTAATTATTAATAATTGGTCATTATTAATTACAAAAGGAGTTGTTGAATAAGCTGGCTTAGAACAATTTTTTAAAGGTATTT